AATACATACTGTATGTGTGTGTATTTATATATACATAATAAATATACACAGTACACAAACATATATTATGTAAACAAACACTTTTATTTTCAAATGCGATTAATCGCGATTAATCGTTTGACAGCATTATTGAAAAGAAATGATGTTTTGAGCATTCACATTCAAATAAAAAAAAAACATGTGAACTGCTTTCAGACTAAGTGTGAAAACACCCTAATTAATATTTGACTGTGTTGCATTACCACCAGTGATGTGTTCAGGGATGATACTTTCATGCACTCCGGCTACTTCGTTGGGATTCAGAGCAACTGTAGGCAGAAGCCATGGAGGATTTGAATAGACCAACTGTTGCACTGGTGGTGGTCCAGATAAGGGAGCAGTGGCTAAGAACGGAAAAATATATAACCCCTATAATAATAAATAGATAACTAGAACAACAATATTTTTTAAACATACTTTATTTAAAGGGATAGTTCCCCCAAAAATAAAAATTCTGTCATCGTTTATTGATCCAAACAGCCATTTACTTCCAAAGTATGGAGAAAAAAAAAATACTATGGAAGTCAATAGCTGCCATTAACTGTTTGGTTACCAGCATTCTTCAAAACTCAGGTTTAAAACAAGTGAAGGGTGAGTACATTTTCATTTTTGGGTGAACTATCCCTATAATAAAGCCTTTTGCAATATTGATAAGGGTTTGGATTTGGTACCTGAGCAGCAGCCATGTTTGGAGTCTCTGGGCGAGTCTGCGATCAGTCGTTCTGGCCTCCCCTGGTCGTGACCCTCCACCAGCATGGCAGTGAGAGGTGTCACAAACTGCTGCTCTAAAGCCAGGGCCAAGATCCTCTGGGTGATCCTACGCTTCTTAGATGCAGTAGGAGCTACAGAGCTACATGAGAGGAAATCCACAGAGGTACGATTAAAGGGAAACACAAGAGAGAAATTCCCGTTTAGCCTCATTTTTGATGTATGATGTGCTTTGGACATGCTTTGTCTACTTTGTATTACTTTTGAAACCAGCAAATAATTCTAAGTGAGACTTGGCATACATAGTACATATAGAAGAAAAAATCCAGAATAATTTATATTAAATGGACTGAGAAGTGAAAATAAATAAATCATGGCAAATTCGGCAAAAACAATTTACTTTTTTTTTGACGTTTCGATGTTTACTATTGAAACAGTAAGTTGAAACATTTGTTAGTTTACATCACAAAATATGCCCTGCCTACTTTTAGAAATATCACAGGTTGTTCACTCGGGAAATACACTTTTTGGGACATTATCTTCTATTTTGAATTAAATTTCATTTGGCCACAGTACCAGGGCATATTTACCAACATCTGTCTTTTAGCAAATCAGGTAGGACTACCAGGTGAACATAAGTAACATTAATGAGCAGTGATGGTCAGTAATGAAGTATTATTTGAAGTATTATAATTGAAGTATTATAATGAAATTACTTTGTTACTGTGTCACCCAGAGCTGATCCTTCCTCTACGCAAAATACGCAAGCTGCGTAGGGCCCCCGAAACACCAGGGGGCCCCCTTGCTCTCAAAGATGATTTAATTTTAGTTTCGTTTTTGAATTTGGCCAGCAGTCATGAAAACATGAATGATCATTTCTTTTAATGCGGTGCGCTCTCGCCCTTTCTATGTAAAAATCAGTTAAATCATGTAATGTGAATGTAGTACAGTCTTGCTCCAGACTAAAAAAACAAGTTGAAAGCGCATCGAGCTACGGAATAGACACTGTTTCTCAAGCGCTTTCCGAGAGCATGATTCGAGACGGAGTGAAACACGGACAAATGCGTTTCATTCATTCGTTCATAACCACTCATACCCCACTTCAATAAGAGTCTCATCTCCCATTCCCTTTAAAAGACAGTTGCACTCGTGCCATGGCGTATTTGCTATTTAAACGGCGGAATTTGCAAGCGCAAAGACAGAACGCGTCTCCAGAGATGAAACGGAGCTGCTTCGGCGCGAGCAAATAGGTAGCCTAATTCTGATACATGCAATGACTATCCATTATGACATGTAGGCATTTTTACATTTATGTAGCCTACACAATAATAATCTTTTACATTGCAATCCTTTAATTTTTAATATTTGGCATGTTTGTGTACTGCTGTGCGTCCCTGTGTGTGTTGTTGGTCAATGGCGCAGTCTATTTCAGTTGCCTCAAAATAGCAATGCGCCAGCAATGCGCCTGAACACACCTCATTTTCAGACCAGCACGATGAGCGCACAAATGGGCGCAAATGCATTTCCTATTTAAACAACGTGGCGCAGGATGTGAAAATGACAACTGCGTCGGGCTGAAACTAGCAAAAAACACTGCATTGCGCCGGGTGTATGATAGGGCCCACTGTTTCTCAAGCGCTTTCCGCGAGCGCGATTCGAGACGGAGTGAAACATGGACAAATGGTAAAACCTCAAAATTCATCCTATGAGAACCATTTTTAAATCGGATATTACATTACCATAGAAATGGTACTTTAAAATCTTTTGGCAGTCTCCTCCCCCTTAGTGGGTGATGTCAAGTGTCATATTACAAAATGTATTAAGGTATTTTACAATCAAAACTTTTTATAATCTTGACAAAATACATATCGTTGCAAAGGTCTGAGTCTCAGGATTCCATATTTTGTGATAGGAGAATTTTAGACATTTGTTACAGAAAAAAAATGCATTAAAATAATTCTATGGAGTTTGCATGGCACCCGGTGGATGTTTATGGTATAACGTCCTAAATAAAATCTCACAGGATTTTTTTTAATATCAACTTCAAATTTGGAACATAACTTATTTAGACATAAGGCTTTAATTTTATAGCAATTTTGTATTTAAAAATATTTTGCAAAATATTTATTTTATATAAAATACAATTGCATTTTCTTTATAGTAAATTTAAACGTCTATAACTCTTTGATACTTTTATATTTTAAAATAATTAACTTCTGCAATAATCTGCTGATTGTCTTCTTTAAAAAGAGTCCAACCTTAGGTCTGTATTCCAACGCGTTCATGAATAATAACAATTTAAGTTTGGATAGTGCACTTTCACGTCTACTGTATGTTCGAAAATGGGTTATCTGTACTTTTCATTTTACTTCACAACATTACTGCACTACATTACATAAAAACATATTCGTTATTTTGAACTGACGAAAATGACATTCTGATTCATAAACGAGTTGATTCTTTTCAGTGAACCTATTAAAGTGTTTCACAAATCGCACCCAATGATTCATTTGCGAATTAGACTGATCCAGTCGCAGCTGTTCTCGAGTCAACAAATCACTGATTCAATTGTCTTCATGTCTGACTCAAAATGAGCCAAGAACCAAGAGAACCACGAGTGACTGATGGCACAAAAAAATTCATTGTCTTCTACTATGAAATTCTACTTTGTCGAGGCAATTTTCTGAGTCACCTCTTTGAATTTTTATTTTGTTCAAATGCCTGTTTTTGGTCCAGTTTCCTGTTTTGATTCATCAGAAGGACATTTTAAATACATTTTCATCTCAAATTAAAGTTTATTTGATCAATTATTAGCAATCTTGCATATAGGTGGCCTCAAATCTAATAAAACAGCTCCTGTTTTTTCTCTCACCGTTCGGCCAGTAGCTGATTGACAGTAATGTAGGCCCACATCTGCCGAGCAAAGCCAGTGAAGGAATGTTGATGTGTGCCGAGCACAGAGTCCAACTCCCGAATATCTGCCTCTGTCTGAATGTTCAGGTCCATGTTGGCCTACAAAAGCAAAACAACTATTATTAAACAAGGCATGAAAACTGAATTTTTAAATCTGAACAGAGACAAAGGTGTGAAGGGGCTCACAGCAGCAGCGGTGGTGAAGCTTTGCAGTGTTGTGAGGTCTGATGGTTGGAGTTTTCCAGCCACTATCAGCTCAGAACCACTGAAGAACTTATCAAAACGATTCTGAGTCACGTTATTCACCGTGTTCTCAGGAAAATTAATGGTGATAGACCTCAGGAGAGGAGAGGAGACCTGACTGTAGAACGTCTGGAGAGAGAAGAAATTGAGTCTTTAAAAGCTCAAAAGAGTTTTGTTTCATTCACATTCACATCCAATTAATCTCAGATGTTTCTCATTAGATTCTGGAAAAATAACAATAGACTCAAACGAGATAATTGCTGACATACTGAGAGTGTGTAGGGATATAAAATTATGTCTGGATAGCACAGCTCAGATCATTTGGACTTGGAAGAATTTGATGAGAAATGTTTCAGTTCATACAGAAATTCACATCTTTTTTCTAACTTCCATTAGAAAAACTTCAATTTTTTGTTCAATTTAATCTTTGTGATAAATGTAACAGATTTTTACAAAACGTATTTTTACAGCTGTCAAAGTTAACATGTTAACTAAACGTGAATTGCAATATATTTTTGACATATTTAATGAATTTGAATATAAAATCAGAATATATTAAAGAATATATATATGCTATTTAAAATATTCTGATTAATATTTTTTTATATTTAATATTTGTTTTTGATATAAATGTTAATTTTAATTTATTTGTAATATTTTTTCTTACACAGTAAAATTATAATTAAACGTGAATTGCTATATATTTTGAAATATGTAATGAATTATATAAAATGATATATATTATATATAAATAATATATGCTGTATAACATGTCTCAATAATAGACAACTGCAATATATTTGATGTTTAAGGATGAGCAGAATTTTCAACCAATAACATTTCACTGTAAGAGGGGTTAGCAAGAGTGAAATATAGAAAAAATATATAATAATAATAAAACAGGCGATCATCTAAAAGGTCCAGTCACTTGTCATGGTTTGGAAAGAAATAAGATTAAAATGGAAGAGATAGGATTTATTGTGACACTGTATTAAACCTTTAACTGTTCTGCGGCATCATGATTGGCATAAATCCTCTGGGCGACGCCTCTGTTGTCCATGGCCATTCTCTCCAGGAAATCGAAGTCTACGTCAAAGCCAATACCGAGAGAGAATAGAGAAAACTCCTCCCTCATCACACGCTTCACGTTCTTCTGAATAGTGTTCAGCTTTATTTCTCCTGTACAAGACGTGAAAAGAGAAACAGTAGATCACTGAGGACTAGAGGAAACTTCAGGACATGAGGGTAGGATGCATAGTGTAAACGTTAATAAATCTTACCCACTGTTGGGTCTCCATCAGACACCAGAATGATCATAGACACAGAACGAGGGTCGATCAGTCCCTGATTGGATGCTCTAACCAGCATCTGCACTGCTCTCAGTAAAGCCTCATTGATGTTGGTGCCTGGGGTTAAATACAGGGTCAATGACAAACAATAGTGTGTGTGTGAGAGAGAGAAAGAGAGAGTGTGTGTGTGTGTGTGTGTGTGAGAGAGAGAGAGAGTGTGTGTGTCTGTGTGAGAGAGAGAGAGAGAGTGTGTGTGTCCGTGTGAGAGAGAGCGAGAGAGTGTGTGTGTCTGTGTGAGAGAGAGCGAGAGAGTGTGTGTGTGTGTGTGTGTGTGTGTGTGTGTGTGAGAGAGAGAGAGAGAGA